GGCATCGCAGGGCGCGGAGTGCCCGGTGCTGCGGGGCCTGGATCAGGGATCGGGCCCCTGGAAACGCCTCGCGGTCAGGGGCCCAACGCCAGGGCTTCCCGCCCGGCTCTGCTCCCCTCTGACCCTACTCCCTGGTACCAGTCCAGAGCTGAGGGCGAAATCTGGGTCAAAGCTGATCGAATTAATTCATTGCTGAGGCAATGGCTGTAGTTGAAAGCAAGGAACAAAACGATAAAAGCTGGTTTTTCTCCCTCCTGGGCCATGTTGACGGCTGGTTCAGGCTCAGGGGAGGCCAGGCTGCCTGCTCCTGCCCCCTCCCTGCTCGGGCTCCAGCTCCCTGAGCACAGGGATTGTTCCTCAAGCCTTGTTGGGATTCCAACATTTCTGCAGCCACAGAACGGTTACACGGGGCTGAGACTGTACACTGGTCTGTGATACAACAAAATGTAAATGATGGAGAAAGTATCACGTACCTTAACTCCGTTAGATGGACTGAAAATTAAGAGTTCATTTACAAAGATGAGTTTAGAAGCTTGCCTTGTTGTGACACTTTAAAGTTACCTGAAGAGCAGCGTTGCAGGAGGACCAGCGCTGGGTTTGCACGCTTTGGGACCCGTAGCAGTAGGTGACAGCTTCACCCAGTAAATGACAGCATCTTGGACTGGTAACAGCTGGATTTCCTCCATCCCTTCACCCCCTACCCTCTCCAGCTGCCAAGCCCAGTCACTACTAAAATTGCTGAAATCCTTAAAATTAGCATAATCTTTTTTGCATGCTGGTTAAATTCTCTGCCAAACCTCTCGCTCTGCCAGTTGAGCTCAGGGAGACTCCCGCCTTGTCATTCGCTCTTGAGTGGTGTGAACTTGCACAGCCACCCTTTCTCTTCCCAAGATGAAAGCAGAATTGTAAGTAAAAAAAAACCCCAAAGAATGTGTCAGTTCTTTAGATATAAAATTGGGCAGGAGGCCCGAGGAGCCTGCCTGGTTCTGTTCACATGCTTAAAGCCTTTTGGTAGCTGATTGCTGTTGACCTGGTGAATTACAATGACAAGGTGGAGTTCCCTCTGTCTTCTAACAAGTTCCTCCTTGTGTTTGTGTTCAGAATGAAGCCGATCAGTGTTGTCTCTTAACTCTGATGTTGTCTCTCTTCCCTTCCTCTCTGCCTGCCTGCTGCTTTCATTCTGTAGTATTGGTATTTGCCATTCATTTCACCTTCTGCATCTATGCATCTCATGGTAGGTGACAGGCTTTTAATCCCAGATTAGACTCTGAAATGTTTCTGAATGCTAAAACTGAAAGCAGAAATGCATTGTGATGGGGTGTTTGTTCCTGAAAACCCTTCCTTCAGGTTCTGTGAAAAGCTAAAGCCTATTGTAGCTTTTTGTTCTGCAGCCTTTAACGACCGCTGGTTTGATGTAAGGGCTCCCGAGAAAATGCACTTTGCCAGAGTTGCTCCAGGTTGAGGATGGTGGCTGGGAGAGGAGACCTCTGCCCTTGGTGTTTGCTGTGCAAGGAAAGCCTGAGTCACTTTGATCCCAGCCAGGCACAGAGAGCGGATGTGCACAACACAGATCTGCTGACCTGGCCTGACATCGTCCTTGCTGTTCCTCTTCTGGCTCTGACGAGCTGGTTTTAACATATGAAGCGAATTACGTGCCTAGATAGCTTTCTAGGGACCAGACGAGTCTTGTTTTTTCTTGGTAAGAGAATGTAGTAAATCTGGGAATGGATGAGCATTTTTTGTCCTGTTGAAAGGACCAGAAACGGAGCCTAATGAGCTTTGCCCACGTGCAGCACGTCTGGGAAACACCGACAGCAGACGGCAGGTTGAGCCAGTTTTCACCTCTGGGTCAGTGGCTGAAATAAATTCAGGGCCCTGGCAACAGCCTGGTTATCCATCTGGGAGGTGGTCAGCAGCACACAAAGTGACTGGGAGACGAAATTCCAGTTATCTGGGATGTGCTCATTAAAAGCAGAGAGATGTTAATTGGCAGCTGACTTGCTAAGAACGGCTTCAGGTCAGATTCGGGATGTTAATGGGAAGTGCTGTGTGTGGAGAGAGGGAGAGAAAGACAGTGCGGGATTTCTCTTTCCAAGGAGGCTGGAGTTGCCTTGCCAAAACACGAACTGGGGTCTCTCCTTACTAAGCAGCAGATTCCTTTGAGACAGCAGGTTTCTGTTCCCCCTTTGTGGGCCAGCAGCAGCGGCGCTGGACACACGCAGCCGTGCTTGGTCAGTTTTCTGTGCTGAACCCCTTCTGCCTCTGTCTAGAACTCAGAGCTCTTCACGCTGACGTACGGCGCTCTGGTCACCCAGCTGTGCAAGGACTACGAGAACGACGAGGACGTCAACAAGCAGCTTGACAAAATGTGAGTGGATCTGGTGGATCTGCTGCAGTGGATCCTGGTAGGAGCTCGAGTTCAGAGTGTGGCACGTCTGTGCTGCGCTGAGAATAACAGCCTGGCAGGCTGAGTTTTATTTCATACTCTTAGTTCTCAGATTTAACTTTTTTCCCCTCTATCTTATTTTATAAACATTGTCTATCTTTCTAAAGCTACGCTCTTCCCACCCTGTTGCTCTTTGGTACGTTCGCAGGGGTTACAACATTGGTGTTCGGCTCATAGAAGACTTTCTGGCCCGGTCCAACGTCGGAAGGTGCCATGATTTCCGTGAAACTGCAGATGTTATTGCAAAGGTAATTGTCGAAGCACAGCTTTGTCAGGTTTTGCGTGTGAGGATAGAGTGTTTGCTACTCACAGGACTGTTCTGAGAGTTTGTCTGAGATTTTGGGGAGGAAAAAGAAAGAATTAGATCCCTGACTGGTGGGAACTGGGAGAGGGGCATGGTGTTTTCAAAACCCTTTAGTAATTTTACAAAGATCAACTCTGTGCTGTTGCTTCACGGGACACATTCTTGTTCCCACTCTGCCATAACAGATAGCGTTTAAGATGTACCTGGGCATCACTCCGAGCATCACCAACTGGAGTCCTGGAGGTGACGAGTTCTCCCTGATCCTGGAAAATAACCCCTTGGTGGACTTTGTGGAGCTCCCTGACAACCACTCATCTCTCATCTATTCCAACCTGTTGTGCGGGGTGCTGCGAGGGGCCCTGGAAATGGTGAGCCGCCGTCTCTCTTCCAGTGAGATAGTTACACACATAACCGCGGTGTTCCTGGAGAGGCTGGTGCTGCTCCGGAGATAACGGCCCTTCTGCCCTCTTCCCTCCCCCAGGTGCAGATGGCTGTAGATGTCAAATTTGTCCAGGACACACTGAAGGGTGACAGCGTCACAGAAATAAGGATGAAGTTCATCAGGCGGATTGAAGACAATCTTCCAGCTGGGGAGGAGTGAATCACAGGCCAGTCTGCCTTTGGGACCGGTTTGGCCGTTAGCTCCCATCAGAGATCTGTAGGGATCTAGTGCCCCTGTACACTCAGACTGACTCACTGACTGGTTAAGATGTTATTATATTCTTCTACTGTTACTTTCATCTTCTGTAGAGGACAATTGTCTGGTTGCTGTTTATTTCACAGGTTCATTCTGAAGCTTTTCCATAGGGTGATATCTTTCGTATTCCTCTGGGGACTCTTTCTACGCTCAGTTTCTTAACTGTGATGTTTTGTTGTGCGAGAACTACTGCTCAGACGCTGGAAGAGCTCCACTCTGTTCACATCTGAGTCCATGTTTTATTACCAGAATTGGAGACCAAGCCCTGAGAGCCTACTGGTTTGCTGTTAAGTGCTGTCCTTCAAAAGAGGTGTTTAAATTTAATTCAGAGATAAGTGCGTAGTATTTCTGTAGACCAAACCGGCTTCCTGCGTTTCATTCTGAAGTTCCTCGTAGAATGCAAGCTTGATCCAAGGGGTGGTTTGGGAGCCTTGTGACTCCCTCTCTTGGAAGGGGAGACCCATTAAATTGCAGTGGAGCAGCAGGGAATGTTTTAAATTGGCTAAAATGCCACCAGTGTTCTCCAGTGTGTACAGCCCAGGGGCCGCGTGGCAAGTCCACGGAACAAAAAACAGAGCTGGGACTAACGGCCGGGAGGTGTTGATGGATTTCAGCAAGCGGAGCCTGGTCTCCTGTTACGGTGTGTAAACACTGCGTGGTGGGGAGGTGGTGCTGGGGTATTTTCTCACAGATGTTTAGGCTACAGCAGAATTTCCCGTGTTACTTGAATTGGCAAGCGTCGGCAGCGTGCAGCACCTGCTGTTCTGTAAAATAAATACAGCGAGTGGTGTTACATCTCACAAAGCAGGATACTGGCAAATCAACTTCCTCTGCCATCCCCTTCAGCCAGAAGAACGCAGTCAGATGTTCAGTTCTCAGATCACTTTGCATAGCATGAAGGCACAGATCCGCAGAGGTAATTCAGAGCTTGAAGCCGGTCGCTCTTCCTTCCACAGGAGCTGGGGCTCAAGAACCTTTGGTTTGTGCCTGAGTGTAAGGTGAGAGAGAAAGTGCCGCTCGTGCTGCCCTTCATTCAGGTTCTTTGGCTGAGCATCGGGTCACCTGGACTCTGGACAGCTCACCTCGTCCCTTTTTTTTCCCAAATGAGTCCCTTTGGAGGGAGGGTTTGGATTCCCCACTCAGTGGTTGTCCTGTGAAGGGGCTGAGTCGCTGTAAAAGCAGCTGGAGAGCGACGCTGCCCAGCAGCAGCGGCTGGTGGGTTTGGGAGGCAGAGGTGCCGCAAGGTCATGTTGCGGAGAGGAAAAAGATCTGTTGTTTCTCATTGTTGACCATTCAAAGTCATTTTCAGGCTGCATTTTAAAAGCAACTGCATTAAAAGAATCCCCGTGTCAGCTCTTTGGTTTCCTCTTGCCTTTTTTCTGGTGAGGCGGGTGCTGGTGTGAGCAGCGGCTGCGCGGGGCTGGCAGGGCGACGGCAGCGCCGCACCAAGAATGTCTGGCCCCTGGCGCGAGTGAAAGCTGCTGCCTGAAGGGAACTGGCCCAGTATTCAGCGCACGGAGGGATTGTGGCCGGGGGTGGGACTCAGGGGCTGACGGGGAGCGCTGGGAAACCAGACAGTCAATGTTTGCTTGTTTGAGGACTGGCCTTTCGCTGCCTGTGAATGCCCGTGCGTGTGCGTTAGCAGGGACCCGCTACCACCAGCTGAGTGGTGCCGTTTGTGGTCATTCATAGCGGCAAAAAAATCACCTCAGGAGGCATCTGTGCC